TATGCCTGATCACGCTCCGTCTCATCGTAGACAATCAGACATCCAGCCCCCTGGTCGAGCACTCCGATAATCACCTTGTCCAGGATCATCTGGGAGAGCTTCCGCTCCACCTGCTGCGTGTCCAGCCCAACCATCTTGGCGATGTGGTCCAGCTCGACTCGGCTGAAAGGTTCAATAACCTTGATCAGATTCTGCTCCAACATGGCATCGTACAGTCTGCGGAGGTGGTTGCGGATGAATGTATCACTGCCCAGCTCGAACCGGTAGTCCGAGAGCGCCTTCTCGTACTCCTCTAGGGACCGGTTGGCATGGGCACGCGCCACAGCCTTCATGGCCTCGAGTCGCGGGCTGGCATACTTCTGAGCCTGCTTCGATCCCAGCAAATTCGTCACATCGTCCACCAGGTTCAACATGATCTTGCATAGCAGCATATATTGGAGGGCCGCAGTGGCCTTCTCTCCCTCATCAAGGGAGCTGTACCCTTCCAGAGCCTCAATGAAGTAGGAAAATGACGTGTTGAAATCCTTGTCCTCGGCGTGTAGCATACCACTCTGCATATCCAGACCGGCCTGCAGGTTCGGCGGCGTGTAGACGGAGGCGGCCGATGTCCGGGCTGCCGTCAAAGCAGCACGTGCCTTGGCCTGGTTGCCCAATGCATGGTACACCCGCGACTCCAGCAGCTGCACCTCAACCAGCATGAGCTTGTCATCCAGGCGCTTTAGCTCGCGGAGAAGGGAGTTGATGAGGGTGAGCGCATCGTAGTAGGTCTGTTTCTGCATGTAGATGGCCACAAGGCGAGTCTGGAGGTTCTGACGAAGGAAGGACCTCCGCTCGGCAATGGCCCATTCAATGCATGATTGGATGACGGAGACTTGGATATCGAGGGTGTTCGGGATCTCGCTGAACAGGTCCAGCAGCTGGCGGACTATCAGAGGACGGGTGGTTAGCAACCCTGGAAGCAATACATTAACCCGGTCAGTCCAACATACCCAGCTTAGCCGTCTTTGCCTTGGCGAATGAAGAGAAAGAATCGCGGCTGGTCTTGATGAGTTCGGCAATCTCGTGGGGCTTCTTCTGGTCCCGGTAGAGCTCTCCCAGCAACACCAGGGCATTCTCGTAATCGCGCGATGAGGCCTCAGACGAACCGGGACCTTGCGCGAGAATTTCCTTGAGGATGCTCTCAGCCTTGGAAGGGTCACTCTTCACGAGACCCCGGGCTTCGTCTATCCGCCCAGCGGTCGTCGAAGAGGGTGCCATGACTAGATCGGGGCTGTGAGGGGCGGCGGAGGAAATCTGGAGGGATTGCGGGTAGTTTTCAATCTGCCAACGGGGTGACAGGTAATGCACAGAGCGGGAAGGCCCTAGACACGATGAGAGATGAGATGATGAGGTATAGAGGATGATGGCAGGACAGGAAGCTTACAGGTTTGGCTATCGTCACTGGCGGTTGGAGCTGCAGCTGCCGCCCTCACCGCCCGCGGCTTGGCGAGCCAACCAGAATCGGCGGTACCCGCCCAGTAGAAAAAAGCGCCTGGAAATTTTATGTCCGATATAGTTTTAGTTTTCTTTCCTCCAGCTTCCTTTGCAGAGAAAACCACCGGACGCCATGGTAAGTTGATTTTTGTTGCTTCATAGCCTTCCGGATAGATACTAACACATCTTCCAGAAAATCAAAGCTCTCTCTCGTCCCACTTCCTCGCAACAGGCTCCGGGAACCGCTGTCGTTCGACAGCCCCGAAACCTCGACCCGGCGCAGCATCCATTCGAGCGGGCTCGTGAATACACCCGTGCTCTCAATGCTACCAAGTTAGAGCGCCTGTTCGCTGCGCCCTTCTTGGGCCAGATGGGCGAAGGCCATGTGGACGGTGTGTATACTATGGCCAAGGACCCAGGCTCTCTGGAACGGTTCGCCAGTGGTAGCGGTGATGGTGTGGTCAAGGTGTGGGATTTGACCACCCAGGGAGAGATCTGGAACACCCAGGCACACGACAACATCGTCAAGGGTGTGTGCTGGACGCCCGATCGGAAGTTGCTTTCTTGCGCAAGCGACAAGACTGTCAAGCTTTTCGACCCGTACAACTCGGCACCCGAAGCACCACCGCTAGCGACCTACCTGGGCCAGGGCGCTTTCACCTGCCTCACGCACCATCGGGACCTGCCCTACTTCGCCGCATCCTCCTCTCAGATCTCTATCTACGATCTCTCACGTCCTTCCTCTACGCCGTCCCAGACCCTTCACTGGCCCACCAACGTGGATACCATCACCTCCATCGCTTTCAACCAGACCGAGACCTCCATCCTTGGTTCGACCGGCATTGATCGCTCGATTATCATGTACGATCTCCGGACATCGTCCCCTCTTCACAAGATGGTTCTCCGCCTGGCGTCGAACGCGATCTCGTGGAACCCGATGGAAGCGTTTAACTTTGCCGTTGCCAACGAAGATCACAACGTCTACATGTTCGACATGCGCAAGATGGATCGCGCATTGAACGTGCTCAAGGACCACGTCGCGGCTGTGATGGATGTGGACTTCAGTCCCACCGGCCAGGAACTTGTCACTGCCTCTTACGATCGGACGATCCGCTTGTGGAACAGATCCACGGGCCACTCTCGCGACATCTACCACACCCAGCGTATGCAACGGTATGTATCTACTTGCACTTCCCTTCTCCAAGAAGTCATAATGCTGACTATGTTCTGCAGTGTTTTCTCCGCCAAGTTCACCCCCGACAACAAGTACGTCTTGTCCGGCTCCGACGACGGCAACATCCGTCTTTGGCGTGCAAACGCATCCGACCGCAGCGGAATAAAGAGCGCTCGTCAACGGGCCAAGCTCGAGTACGACCAGGCCTTGATCCAGAGATACTCGCACATGCCGGAAATCCGCAGAATCCGCCGCCAGCGTCACGTGCCGAAGCCGATCAAGAAGGCGCGCGAGATCAAGCGGGAGGAGCTGATGGCGATCAAGAGACGCGAGGAGAACGTGCGCAAGCACACCAAGAAGGAGAACCTGCCAAAGAGACAGAGCGAGCGCGAGAAGATGATCCTGGCCAAGGAGCAATAAATGCTCTGCCCGGGACGTCCATCTGGATGATCGTGCGGAACGGCTGCGCTCAGAGACCAAATACATTGTGTCTCAAGTATATATACATTGTATGGACATGATACAGTTGGGGTATATTCCTTATTGCAGCTGTTGTTCAGCTTCGTCGTCAGTCCTCCTTCACGTGATCCAACTCAGTCTGCAACTGCTGGCTGGACGAATCAGCCCTGCCGGGTTTGGACGACGCCTGTGCTACCGCGCCATCAATCCCGCTCAGGTACCGCGCCAATCGCTGCACGCTCGCCGGCAACACTGCATACCAGTTCACCAGCATGGCAAACGCGGGCAACCTTATCACGCCACCCCTGCCGCTGTCGACAGCCGAGACAATAGCCTGCGCGACCTGGACTGGCTCCAAGACGGGGGCAAAGAAGCGGTTGGGCGTCTGGACGGATTCAAACAGCGGCGTTGAGATCTGGCCCGGCTCCACCAGAACCATCTTTACTTTTGCATCGTCCCCGGATTGTCGAAGTTCGGCCTCGAGCGAGCGATGCAACGCGCTCAACCCAGCCTTACTAGCCGAGTAATCCGCCAAACCAGCCGCACACAGCTGCCCAAGCACCGAACTCACCGTAACAATGGTCCCACCGTCCGGCGCAGCCAGCATATATGGCAAGAAAACCTGATAGGCATGAACGGCGGCGAGTAAATTGGTGTTGATAGTTTTCTGGAAAGCCTCGGGAGAGAGCTGTTGCAAGGGTAGACCGTTGATTCTTGCAGCTGCGCAATGGATCAAAATGGTTGGAGTGCCCAACTACCCCCATTAAGTTTAGTTAGCCATCAGTCAATCAAATCAATTAATTACCAGACTCCCTCCCTCCCACCATACATATCTCTATACCAAAAGTAGAAAAAAGAAAAAGAAAGAAATATACATACCTCCACCCTAACCCTCCCCACCACACCCTCCAAAGCCCCCCTATCCGAAACATCACAAACAAAACACCCCCCCAAGCCCATCTCCTCCACCTCCTCATCCGATATCCCGCGAACATCCAATACCGCTACGGAGGCGCCACGCAGCGCATATATCCTCGCAATGAGTAATCCCAACCCGCTCGCTCCGCCCGTCACGACCACCACTTCATTGGAGAGATCGACGGTGCGCGGGGCCCCGTAGGCTAATTGCTGATTGAGTGTGCTGAAGATGTAAATGAGGGTGAGGAGGGCGGAGTAGATGATGGCGATGATGAAGGGGAGGGAAGTGTAGGGGGTTGCTTGGGCGCGGAGGCATAGGAGGAGAATGTAGGATGGGATGGGGTGGAGAATGGTGCGGGTGAGGGTTGTGAGGAGGAGGTCGATGGTTAGGGGGGGGTTAGTGGTGGTGCTGGTGGTGGGTTGGAGGGGGCGGGTGTGGATGATTTTCGGGGTGGTCATTTTGCGGGAGGGAGTATTAGGGATGGTTGGGTGATGGTGTAGGTGTGGTTGGGGTCATGGTAGGGGGTGTGGTGTTGTGTATAGCAGTGGTTGTGGTGGTGAGTGGTGAGTGGTGAGTGGTGGTGTTTTGCGGAGGCTGCTGCGGCTTGGGATCTGTGATTGGTTGGTTAGGAGTTGTCGGCGCTTAGATAGGGGGTATGATAAGTGACTTACTGGGTGGGATTGTAGATGAGATTGAATATGGACTTCTGGTCTGGTCTGTAGGGGGTCAATTGGACATTCTGACAGTCGGAGCTTGGAGGAGGGACTGACGAGAAAGAAGCTCCGGGCAGATGATTGTGAGATGTGGGGCTGCTGATGGAGTGGTTCAGTTCAGTTCAATTCAGTCCATGGCTGTCGAGTTAAGGTTGTGTAAGACATGCATGGTGCATTTGCCTTGATTCTTATCTCGAACTTTGATTACGGAGATTGCAAGGTTCAGATTAACTCTTATGTTCTACGTTGCCGTCGGCTGTGACACGAAGAGCCGATGAGCGACCCATGATCGGGATACATACAAAGTGCGGCGAACTCCGCGATAGAATGCTGTCGCCCGAAACACCACTTTCTTATCACTCACAACATCTAACACAATATAATAATATATACCAAAATGCCTCCGCCTACTCTTACACCCGTCAAGCGCATTCAGAATGTCCGACTCCCCGGCAGAGACTCAACCTGGGACATTGCCATCTCGCGCCCCCATGATTCTCCGCACAGCATCATCTCATCCATCACCCCGCACCCCAATGCTGAATTGAACCAGACCGCACCACTCGCCCTCCCAGCTCTGACACACCCACATATCCACCTCGATAAAGCATTCATCCACAACTCCCCCGAATATGCACATCTTCTTCCCTCTGCCGGCTCGTTCGCTGAAGCGCTATCCTTTACCACGCAAGCGAAGCAGCAGTTTACGCGGGAGGATCTTCTGAGACGCGGAGAGTGGCTGATTGCCGGATCTGTCTCTGCAGGGGTCACGGCGATGAGGGCATTCGTGGAGGTGGATCACACTGTAAACCTCATTTGTCTTGAAGCTGGTATCGCTCTCAAGAATGAGTGGAGAGGCGCGTGCGAAGTGCAAATAGTATCATTTGCGCAGGACCCGATATTCTCGGGTGAACACGGGAACCATAACCGTCAGCTCATGGAAGAAGCGGTGCGACAGTCGCAGGTGGATGTCATCGGGACAACACCGTACGTTGAGTCGTCGATCGATGCATCGAAACAAAACATTATATGGGCAATTGAGCGTGCCCTAGAGTGCAGAAAGCATGTAGACTTCCATCTCGACTATAACCTCGACACCGGGAAGGAGGCACTGGTTTGGTTTGTTTTGCACACGCTGAAGGAGAAGGGGTGGACATCACAGTCAACGGATAAGCGGGTCATGCTGGGGCACTGCACACGACTGACGCTGTTCAGTGATGAAGAATGGGGGCTTCTTGCACAAGAGATCCGGGATAATGACCTTCCGGTTAGCTTCGTTGGGTTACCGACGAGCGACATGTATATGGCATCTCCACCATTTTTGAAAAGCCATGATCGGCCACGGGGTACATTGCAGGTTTTGGAGATGATAAACAAGTATGGTTTGAACACGGTGATCGGAATCAACAATGTGGGCAACGCTTTTACGCCCTGGGGCTCTGAAGACCCCCTGTCGTTGGCGTGTCTAGGAGTGGGTGTCTATCAAGCCGGGACCAAGGCGAATGCCGAGCTATTGTACGAATGCGTGTCAACCAGAGCTCGCGCAGCAATCGGACTTTCGTCATCTGAGACCTTGGCCTTGAGCCAGGGAAGTCGTGCAGATATTCTGCTATTTTGTGACGTGGACGACACTGGTTGTAACGTGTCGAAACCGCGACATGGTGTTGCAGGCATCGTCTGGGACCCGCCAGCCAAAGCTAGCAGAGAGCTCGTAGTTGGTGGTCAACTAAAGGCTTCCCCATGTTCATTGTGTCCGAAATCTGCGTTTCACTTCGTGTAGCGGCGGTTATCGGGAGGCGTCATATTTGGCGTATTGAAGGTTGCACAGCAGATGGTGTATTGTATTACTAACCCAAAGCTTCACACGCTTCAGATATCTATAATCCCTAGACCACATAAGTGAAGAAGATGATCTAAAGAATCTAAGACGTCAAGTGCTCAAAGTCAAATGTAGACTCAGAGGTGAACGCAAGTATAAGGGAGGTTGACGCTAATGTCATGTTCCCCACACTGGAACCATTTCGTTCAGCTGAGCGCGTACCTGCGCAGGTCCGTGTAGCGAATAGCTGAAGGTAGGACAAGCAGGGTCTTCGCGCATGATATCCATGTCATCCACATTAAGCGATAGCCGGAACCCGTTCCCAGCGCGTGGATACAACCGGTGCTCCTGGAATTCATATTCCGAGTCGTCATCGGAGATCTCCTCATACCGCCTTCGAGTAGACGAAGAAGATGCGGCTTCGGGCACAGAGTCCTCATTGTGTTTGCTTACTTCAGTAGATGCAGACGTGGAATCCCTTGTATCATTGCTTGTCGAAACATTACCCGACACCGATGTCGACGGAGTCGGGGCATCGGAAATTGGCAATCGAAACGCGAACTTGGAAGACTGGAGGTCCCTCATATTCTCAGGAAACATGGGCAATATCGGATTGTTGTCCGAGATAGTCATCAGGAGCTCAACGAGGGTTGCATGCGACAGACCCGACAGGAAGCCTCGTCGCTCATCAGCCGAAAATTCCGCTGCACCAACCTCGCTTTTAGGAATTGATAGCGGAGAATAATTAGGAACCAAAGGCCCAGATGTGAGGTCAGGATTGCTCCGCACAACTGTTGGCTGAATGACAGAAATTTGGACAGGCCGGCATTCCTGACAGAACCATTCCTTCTCCTTGACTGCGACAACGTCTGCGCCAATAGGAGGGTCGTGACACAACTGATGCCATGCAGCATTGCACTCGTCACAGAATACGATCGAATTGCTCAATGGGCTATGACCCCTCTGACAATGCAAGCAAGTAATGATCGCATCTTTCCCTCGACGATGGATACGTTTGCGTTTTCGTGCGACGGCTGCATAATCAGACGCGTCCGCCGAGTTGCTTACCTCCTTGGCTACCGCAGGAGCCGACGGTGCAGGTACATATAACGAAGGCCGGTTGACCAAGCGGCCGGATTTTGTTTGCGTCGCTGTTGGTGCAACATCTGATTCGTCGCTACTGGAGTCACCGGCCCTTATGATATCTTCCCCGTCACTATCATTATTTCGTTTGCGCTTCTTGCCGCGCTTGTTACCATTTGCCGCACCCTTTCGCTGGCGCGAGCCAGCTGCGGTTTGTGGCCTCTTGGGCTTTGCTGCTGGCTGTGGCTGTTGTGGTGCAGGCAAGGCTGTTGATGCTGGCGCTGCACCATTCGACAATGTCCCATTTGGTTTAGGGGCAATTTTGATCTCAGCTGTGGGTTCTGCTGATATTGGTACAGTCCATTGTGTTGGTGCTGAAACCGCACCGACAGGTGTTGTGCTTGGTTTTGGAGCGATATTGACTGGAATTGGAGACGCCGACTGCCGTGATGCTGCATCGACGGGCGTTGAACTTGTGGTTTTTAAGTCGACATGGACCGGGACTGGAGACCCTGAATGTCTTGATACTGCGTCAATTGGTGTTGTGCTGGGCGGTTTTGGGGCGAGGTTGGGTAGATTTGTAGGCTTTACTATGTCTCCTGTATTTCCTTGAGGCGCTGGGGACGCAGGCTGAGGAACCGCCGGTGGCGCCACAGTGTTCGAATACACGAACGGCGCCGTAGGCAATTCAATAATTGTAGAAGAGGCCCTCATTTTCCCCATTGTGGAGTTGCTATTCTGGCTTTCGAACGTCCGAGTAACTGTAGATGGGTTCCATGTAACAAATCTATCATTATCATTTCTCTGCTGCGGTCCTTTGAGGTTCCCGGTGACCCGCGCCAGTAACTCGGTAGTAGCTGCAGAGAGCCGGGGGATCTCCACCCTCTTTGAGGGTACGCTCGACGGCCGTCCGGGTAAGGAGGGAGGCAGTTCCAGGGAGGAACCAATGCTGATGCCGCGCGAGGAACCCGAAGGGGGTGAGCCAGAAGTGGTGGTAGTGGTATGAAGTGTTCCGTGGGCTGATGAAGGCGCTGTTTCTATAGACGCCTGGGAGGAAGGAGCTCCATTGTGCGGTGACATATCCCCTAGCCGGGTCGATGTGCACAGTTGCTCAGTCGTCTTAGTAGACTAGCTCTGGACACTGCACCTGAATCCTCACTGTTATCGGAGTGCGACAAGAGAAGTCATCATGAACGGACCCAGATTTATATACCATCACGTGATCGTGAGGAATCCATCCCCCGCGCCCTTGACAGAACCGCCTTTCATTGTCAAAAAGCAATAATGCTCCTTTAATGGTGTAACTGCCAGCGGCACACTGTCCAATGTGCATGGCTGGCTTGATGATTTTTCTCTTCTAGCTATCTCTCTATGATATCCGGGACTCTTCAGCGCGGACGAGCCGGTAGTCGCACGAAAAACTAACCATGTAGGGATTATTCCTGCAGATGCGTGACCTTCCGGACCACCGGCTCTTCAACGCAGTCTAGAGCAATCCACCAGCCAGGTCGGACGAGCAGAGCTACTGTATGATATAATCTATGCTACTACACCATCCTTCTTTAGCCGAGCAATATCGTCCTTGCCATACTCCAATACTCCCCCCAATATCTCGTCCGTATGTTGCCCCAGGGTTGGGGGCGGTGTCCGAATGCCAGGGGTCGCGTGGGAATACTTGATGGGTGTATTCACCAACTTGATGGGACCACAGGCTGGATGGTCAACCTCTGCAACCATGCCTCGTGCTTGGACTACATATACATTGTCAGCGAATTGATATAGTTCTGGAATCAGGTTATGTTGGATGTATAACATACCGTGGGAGTGGTTCAACGTTCCCTGAATATCATTGACTGCGGCATAGGGCATGCCGCTGCCCTCCAAGATCTCAAGCCACTCTTGCGTGGTCTTTTGCTTTACAGTTTCCTCAATCAAACCATCAATATCCGTACGATGCTTTACTCGATCACTGTTGGTAACGAATCGGGGATCGGTCTTCCATTCCGGGTGTCCAAGTCGGTCGCACAACACACCAAACAGTCTATCGTTCCCGCCTCCGAAAAGAATGTCGCCATCGAGCGTCTTGTAGCTTCGGTAAGGCACAATGGATGCTACAGACAGTCAGTAGCTAGATTTCGAACACATGGTATAAGCCACTTACGGTGTGCGGTTCCCCATCTTCCCGAATCCTTCTTCCCACTGATCAGAGCGGAGCTGGCAATGTTCGCCAAGGTCGCAACTTGACAGTCGCTCAGACATGCATCGATATGCTGTCCCTTACCAGTTCTCGCCCGCGCAAGCAAGGCGGCCATGATGGCATTCGATGTGTACAGACCAGTGGTCAAATCGGTCACAGCAACGCCTACCTTTACCGGTTCCCCCTCCCTACTACCCGTGATGTGCATCAGACCCATCTCCGCTTCAACCATAACGTCGTACCCCGCACGGTTACTGTATGGCCCAGTCTGTCCATATCCGGTGATGCTGGCGTAGATAAGTTTAGGATTGATGGAGCGCAGGGTCTCATAATCCATATTATATTTCTTAAGACTACCAGGAAGGTAGTTCTCCACGAGGACGTCACATTCCTTCGCCAGCCGGTGTAGAATCTCAACACCGGACTTATGAGCGAAGGACAGACCAATTGATTTCTTGTTGCGATTTACCTATCCACGATGGTCAATTGCGCTCTTGGAGGTATGGCAGTAGCAGACCGCATAACATACTCCAAGATAGTAGGCACTCTCTCCTGGACCTTCGGACCCATCCGTGTACGTGGCGTACGGGGGACCCCACGCTCGAGTATCATCACCGCGCACGGGGTGTTCGACTTTAATAACATCCGCTCTATATGGTATCATCCCGGTCAGATCCCCCACTGCCTTGATAGTATTTGTCAGATGTCGAAGAACATACCCTAAATCACCCAAAATCTGGGTACAGTATGGCTGCGGGGAATGTTAGTTACATCTCCAACCCGGCGCTGTTGGAGACGACAAGCCTATTACTCACACCAGCCAAAACTCGTGTCATATCCAAAACTCGTATACCTTTCAAGGGAAGTGTATCGTCCGAAACAGCAGAAGAATAGCTGCGCCATTGCGTCGTCCGCCGGGGAAGATAGATGCTGCGACGGGCAACGCAAGCCCGCTGTACCCTCAATGCGGCCGTGAGATTCATAATTGATTCTAATGCTGGCTTAAAGATGCGATGTTAAATAATATGATAGACCATAAAAGTAATGATAGTTGGAGCAATGATCATCCAAAAGGACAGTGGGTAGATTAATTATAATCGACAATGCAAGGTTCTCCAAATAAGCTACAGGGAAGATCAAGTAGAAGCGCTGGCTCCCATTCGGGGACCACGCCGACGGAGCTTCGCTGCCGAGGTCAAGTACATTAAGTCCGCTTTCCGCTCAACTTTCCTTCTTACAACCGCTTGATTCCGCCCGCAACCACGGTATCGATTCTACATTTCTACATTTTTACCCATTTCCACCATGTTCACCGGTCTTGTTGAGAAAATCGGGAGTGAGTTTCTTATACTGCGATCATGGATATTCAAACAGAAAAACTAATTGCCCTTTCTCTATCGCAGCTGTCTCGTCCCTCGAGTCCCTCGATACCTCCTCAAGCGGGGGCGGGGGTACATCCTTGACCATCTCCGATTGTGAGGAGATTCTCACAGATTGCCATCTCGGCGACAGTATAGCTGTCAACGGTATGAATCGCATCGCATGATATCGATTGCTACACTCACCATCATTCCCATTGCACTCGATTCCTATTTTTTCCTCTGCTTCTCTCTCTCTCCATCGTTACCCCTCCCCCCTACCCCCACTCCCCCCCAAATCGCGAAACAATACCCCCCACGAACCCCCCACGAACACCCCCAAGGAGCTCAAGGAGAAATCCCATTCAACTAATAAAATTACATAAAAACAGGAACCTGCCTAACAGTAACCGCCTTCGACAAGACCTGGT